GGGCCAGTACTCACTGCCTGGGCCTACAAAAATATGAATTCTCCGTGTACCTGTAAATCTCCTTAGAAATCATTTCTCAGCCTTTTGGCTAAGATCAAGTGTAAATCTCCTTAGAACAAGACCTCGAGCCACCGAGATGCTAAATATCAATCTTAACCTTATTAGGATTTCTCAGCATCACTAAAGCATTTTGGAGCTAGTTAACCCTTTGGATGAGGGGCTGTCCTGTGCATTAGAGAGGCTATAACACCATCCTTGGCTTTTTTTGTTTTTATTTTTGTTTTTTTGTCTCTTTTTTGAGACAGGGTCTCGCTATGCAGTTCAGGCTGGGCTTGAGCTCACTTTGTAGCCCAGGCTGACCTCAAACTTGCAAGGATCCTCCCACCTCAGCCTCCTGAGTGCTGGGATCACAGGTATGCGCCACCACGTCCAGCCCATCCTTGGCTTTTATCAGCCAGACCGCAGTAGTACCTTGTGTGTGACAAGCAAAAATGTGCTCAGACACCACCAGATGCCTTCTTCAGAGCAAATTTACCCTTAGTTAAGAACCATTGCCGGGCATGGTGGCACACACCTGTAATCCCAGCACTCGGGAGGCTGAGGCAGGAGGATCGTTGTGAGTTTGAGACCAGCCTGGGCTACAAAATGAGCTCATGGTCAGCCTGAACTGCATAGCGAGACCCAGTCTCAAAAAAAAGAAAAAAAAGCCGGGTGTAGTGGCACACGCTGGTAATCCCAGACTCGGGAGGCTGATGCGTGAGGATCGTTGTGAGTTCAAGACCAGCCTGGGCTACAAAGTGAGTTCAAGACCAGCCTGAACTGCATAGTGAGAACCTGTCTCAAAAAAAAAGACAAAAAAAAAAAAGAACGATTGACCTATAGTAATCTTTTGATTGGCCTATCAATCATCAGAAGTTCCCATTCAGTAAATCCATCAGAAGTTTCAGTCAGAAAGTAAGTCTGAAGACATTATTTAGTTTTCTGACCAACTGAAGTTTTTCTTTTTTCAATCCAGGTGTTCTCCCTTTTCTCCAGTTCTCAGAATTAAAACACCGTATTTGGAGAGCTCCCAGCAGAGAGCGTTTTCAGCCCTGAGCTTCCCTCAGTTTCACAGAGGTGACAAATGGTGAAGGCAATCAAAACAAAGTTTAGTTTTTTTTCTCAAAATAAAATAGAAGTCAGCGCCGAGGGCGTTGCTTAGCGACAGAGCACTTGCCTAGCCTGTGTGACACCCTGGGTTCCAGCCTCAGCCAGCGGGAGGCAGTGTGGTATTTCAGGAACGCCACCTACTGGGGGAGATTGTCCAAAAAATAAAATAAAATAAAAAGCACAAGTAACCCACATTTGAATAGAATTATTTTTCAATTTCAGCTTGTATTGAGCTTTTGCATAGGTAATAATTCACATGGTTCCACATTCAGTGAAAAGCGTCCCTCTCCCTCTATCCCCAGTTGCTTCTCCAGAGACAAACTATTTTAGGCATCTTCCCAAAGGTAATCTAGGAATATGAGCAAATTCTCAAGCATGTATTATCCCCGCTTCCCCTGTTGCTTCCACAAATGGTATCAGACCATACATCTTGCACTTTCCCCTAGTAAAACTTAAAGATTATTTCACATCAATGTGGAAAGAACTAGCCAAACCACATAGGTACCCTACAAGTTAGTTAACCAGGCATCTACCGGTGGACATTTAAAATTGGTTCTAATCTTTTATTCATAGCAATCCTGCCATCACTAACAATGTATAAATGTCATTTTAAAATAATTACATTGAAGCGTAATTTACATGTCACAAAAGTCACCCGTGTTAAGTGATTTCACCTGCTGTTTATTTTTGGTAAATTTATCCTTCACCATCTCTGTAACATTTTACATTTCCGTCACGCCCTTAAAATGCCTTGTTGTATTTGCAGTCACTCCCTATTCTCATCATCCAAAGTAATCACAAATCTTATCACGGGCTCCTTAGGTTTGCCTATTCTGGACATTTCCTATAAATGAAATCATACAATAAGAGGGCTGTGTGCCGGGGATGCAGCTCAGCAGCACAGTGCCTGCCTGGCAAATGCAAGGTCCTGAGTTTGATTCCCAGTACCAAAAAAAAGGAGGTCTTTTTATGTTTTAGCATGTTTAAGGGTTCATTCATATTGTATCATATATCAACACTGTCTCATTTTGTTATGGAATAATGCTATATGCACATTCTATATTTTGTTTATCCATTCACTGCCCAGTGGACATTTGGGTTGTTTCCATTTTGCTCCTATAAATAGTGCTATGAACATTCTTGTGCAAGCCTTTGTGTAGACAAGTGTTTTTATTTCTCTGGGCTAAATGTCCCAGTGTAAAGAATTTCCAGAACACATGGCAAATTTATATTTAATTTTTTTTCTTTTTCTTTCCTTTCTTTTTCTTTATGAGACAGGGTCTCACTTTATGAGACAGGGTCTCTCTCTCTCAGGTTGGCCCTGGCCCTGAGCTCACTATGTAGCTCCGGTTGACCTAGAACTCATGGCAATCCTCCTGCCTCAGCCTACAAGTGCTGGGATTACAGGCGTGCACCAACATGCCTGGCTTTGTAACAGTTAAGAAACTGCCAGACTGTTTTCCAAATGGTTGTACCACTTTACATTCCCACCAACAATGTCTGAAGGCTCTTGTTTTATGCATCCTCACCAACCATCAACATTTGTCACTGTCTGGTTGTTGTTGTTATTATGTTGTTTTGTTTTGTTTTTTAATTTTAAAGAGAAAAAAGATAAACATAGTGAAACAGTTTCAAAACAGGTTAGTAGAACAGGTGTAATAGTTGATATTTTTCTTTCACTGTCTGTTTTAATATACTCATTTAAGTGAATATAAAACATCCTATCCTGGGGGGATTTTTTTCTTTTTTGAGACAGGGTCTTGCACTGTAGTTCAGGCTGGGCTTGAAGTCATGATTTAGCCCAGGTTGGCCTTCAAACCATGGTGATCCTCTTGCCTCAGCCTCCCAAGTACCCAGATAATTTTCTTTTTATATGCATTTTCCTAATGATTTTCTTTTCATATGTTTATTAACTATTTATATATCTTTCATGAAATGTCGCCACGTTTGGTGATGCATGCCTGTAATCCCAGTACTTGGAAGGCTGAGGCAGAAGGATCACTGTGAGTTCACGGCCAGCCTGAACTACATAGTGAGATGCTGTCTCAAAAAGACTAAAAAAAAAAAAAAAAAAAGTCTATTCAAATCTTTTGCCTTTTTTTTTTTTCAGTACTGAGGACAAATCCCTGGAGTGCTCTACCTTTGAACTACATCTTCAGATCTTTTTTTTTTTTTTTTTATTTTGAGGCAAGGGTCTTGCTGAGTTGCCCAGGGTGGCCTTAAATTTGTAATCCTCCTGCCTCAGCTTCCCAAGTAGCTGGCATTATAGGTATCCACCTCCATTCCTAGCCTTTCATCCATTCTTAAATTGGATTGTTTGTTCTTACTATAGAGTTGTAGGGTTGTAGTTTTGGGTACAAGTCCTTATCAGATATACAATTAGAAATATTTTGGTTTTATTGCTTGCATGTTTGTTTGTTTCTTTTTTTCAGACAGTCTCTGTGTAGTCCAGGCTGGCCTTGAACTCACAGCTATTCTCCTGCCTCAGCTTCCCAAGTGCTAGGATTACAGGCACGTTCCACTACACTAGACTGGAAATATTTTCTACCAGTCTTTGGTTTTTCTTTTCATTTTCTTAATGGTGTCTTTTGAAATGCAAAAGTTTTAAATTCTAATGAAGTACATTTTATCAGGATTTTTTCTTTTATGTGTTACACTTTTAGTGTCATATTGATATAGGGATGATATAGGACTGACAAACAATCCAGATAATATAAGGGAAATATAACTCCCAACCTGCTGAATGTCCAAAATACAAAATACTGAATTAGTGTTCTCTAGATTTGAAGAATGAATTCTAGGAACAATGGAGTTTAACAGTAGGAAGCATTTATTGAAATAAATGTCTAAGAGGGACAGAAGGGGGCCCACGGACCCTGCTTTTCAAGGGTGTTTTATTGAGCAGAGCCACAAGGTGAGAGGGGTTCAAAGTGGGACAAAACTATAGTCAACTAAGAAGATTACACATGTAATCACTTAAGTAGGGGGCTGGGGATTTAGCTCAGCGACAGAATGCCTGCCTGGCAAGCGCAAGGTCTGGAGTTCAATTCCTGGTACCGGAAGAAAAATAAACAAACAAAAAATCACTTAGGTAATATTGATTCAGTGGGAAGTCAGGAGGTGGGTATGAGGTGGGACAAAACTACGGTGACCCAATAAAATTACAAGTGTAGTCACTTAGGTAATAGTGATGAAATGGAGATCAAGTTGGAAAGCAAGTCACATAGGAAGAGTCCATGAACTGAACAAGGACTCTCCTGGAAGGGGCGGCTTAGGGAGGTCTGGTCCTCCACACCAAGGTGGTTGATGCCCATTTAGAATATCAATCACTGCTGTTCCTTCCTAGGGGAAGTACATGGGTCAAGTACATTGTTTTTCTTTCTTTCTTTCTTTTGTCTTTTTTGAGACAGGGTCTCACTATGCAGTTCAGGCTGGCCCCGAACTCCCAACAATCTTCCTGCCTCAGCCTCCTGAGTGCCGGGATTATAGGTGGGCACCACCACACTACGCCCAGCTGTTTTTCTTTTCTTGAAGCCTGGCCTTCGGTGAATGTGCTTCCAGCCATGGCTGTCTTCTGCACTGACCTTTCAAAGACCCAGCTCTGTCTGCCTATCTACAATATTTCTAAATAACTCAGCTATCTATAACATTAAGTATCGCTATCTGCGGTGAAGAGAGATTGAGCATAGTTTCCATCTAGCTGATTCCTGCTGAGAAGGGTTGGTATAGGGGCGACTGCAGTCAGGGGTCTTCCCCAGAGAGCTAATCTAATGGGCCTCACATAGAAGTCATGCTGTGGTTTAGCACTTATGAACTCTCCCTACCAGGTTATCTGGTGGATCCCATTGAAAGGAGTCTGGCACATTTATTGTTGGTTCCATCTGCATGATCACCTGAAGTCCGGCAGCCTCTAGGCAAGAATAAACACATTTTTTGAGAAATTAGAGCATGGGTAATCAAAGCATGAGCACTAGAACAGAAAGGCATGCTGGGGAAAGAGCCAAGTCTAGAAACAGAGAGGGATAGGGGACTGGAATAGTGACCGTAACCCACCGGCTCTTAGACCTCTCTATGGACGCAGTCATGTTTTGTCATAACTCCTCCCGGTGTTAACTGTAAGAAGATGGAATTTGGTGGTTCTGAAGGACAACTGTAGCTAAAGAATTTAAAGATGCTTGTTGATCTTTCATAGATTCTATTGTAGTTTTTCATAATGACCTGCAACAGTGGTCAGCTACTGGTATAGCTGGAAACTGCCAGAACAGGTCAGCAATTAGAGTCCATTTTTATATCTTTCTTATTACTATGGCATTGATTTTGTGTATCTTTTTTTTTTTTTTTGGTACCAGGAATCGAACTCATGACCTTGCGCTTGCCAGGCAGGCACTGTGCCACTGAGCTAAATCCCCAGTGATTTTATGTATCTTTGGTTAGATTTTTCTTCTGAGTGTTTAGGACCAAGTTAAAATGAGACCTGTGTTAATTAAAATTAACTTCTTGCTGTCTATCAAGGCCAGTTGAGTCTCCTCAGGCATTACTTTGGAACCATGTATAGAGGCTCTCAGCGCCTCTGTCAGAGTCAGCTGTCAGGAGGAGTCATGACCTTGCTTGACCATGCTGCTTTCCATGAAAGCATGGGGGACTTCTCTCTCTTGGGGACCCTCCTTTGGCATCCTGTACACTTGTTGGTTCTTGTCCTCTGGGGTCCAGCAATCTCCCTGCTCAGGAGTAGGTTCTTATGGAAAAAGTTCTCTCATGTCCTGGGTTGTTCTCTCATGTCCTTGTTAACTTTGGAGGATCAGGCCCAAAATATTGGCTTTCCTTTTAGGCCAGTTACCTGTCCAGTTCCTGTCTCTAAACTTTAGTTGTTGAACACCCAGAAGAGAAGATCAGTGACATTAGTATGGCAATGGGTGTAGTAAGTCCAATTACTAAAATTTCATGTGGGTATCAAGCACTTCAAAATATAAAATATAGACAGAGGACTGTTATTTCTTATGAACTATGGTTGTTTTAGTAGTTGCATCCCTGGAGAATGTTAACAGACAACAGTTACATAGTTTATAGAAAAACCTTAAGATCAAGAGCCACACATAGTATTTTATCATGACAATCATGATGATATCATTTTTGTAACACACTTACATGTCCACCTTACTATAGAACTGTCTTTTTAGTCAGACATCTCTGTC